CATCTAAATGAGAGTTCACTCCGACTTGTGGTGTGTACCCCAAGCAATCCGCTAGATGTCCATGCACATGTCCAAGAACCGATAACCTGCGGGATCTGGAGTTCAATTCTGTTTTTTGAGTGCGAAACTCTGCTCAAAACAGATCCAAATCCAACAGGAAGTCCCACCACAGACCAAGGTTCTCTTATAGTGCGTGGCCATCCGCACATACCACTGCTCAGTCACCAAACCGATATCTGCGAATTGATTCGCTGTTCAACTAGTATCGGTCAATGCCTTTCCAGCTCTCTCTCTCTCTCTCTCTCTCTCTCTCTCTCTCTCTCTCTCTCTCTCTCTCTCACGAACAGTGCTATTGGGAATCGGCATCGAGAGCGAACGACTATTTGCCACTTCCTTAAGGTGCTCTGTCGAACACCACTAACTCCCGAATCATTTGGTGTTCAACTACTATCTAAAAACCGGAGAAGGAGGTCCTTCCGGGAAGATAAATGGTGGACACATTTGTTGCAGGGGTACCGACGGGCAACTTACCAAATGTCGTGTATCTGGCTGGGTGTTCCGCCCAACCACAGTTGACAGGTTCAGTCCTTCAACTTGCAAGGTGTCGGGCGCCGGACCCCTGACTTTTTATGGAAAACAAGCACCACATACCCAACACGATGCCCTTTTGAATCGTGTACTGTCTGTCACAGCAACACTAAGCCAGTGGTGCGCATCATGTTGTCCATCTAAATGAGAGTTCACTCCGACTTGTGGTGTGTACCCCGACAACACCACAAGCAATATCCAAGAACTGGTAACCTGCGGGATCTGGAGTGCAATTGTGTTTCTTGAGTGCGAAACTCTGTTCGAAACAGATCCAGATCCAACATGAAGTCCCACCACAGACCATCAAACCTTCCCCCGGTGGCGGACTTCAGCATCCAAGACTGGCCAGCAACTGCTAACCTGCGGCAAGAAACATCAAGGTTCCCTTAAAGTGCGTGTTCATCCACACGTCGACTGTTTGACACTTGTTGAAGGTGTTCAGTCACCAAACCGATAACTGCTCTATCAATGCCTTTCCGGGTTAAAGCAAGGAGCGCTCTCTCTTTCTCTCTCTCTCTCTCTCTCTCTCTCTCTCTCTCTCTCTCTCTCTCTCTCTCTCTCTCTCTCTCTCTCTCTC